GTTTATCGCTTGTGTGATGTCCTGGTGGGGTACAACTTACATACATACATATTTTTCTTTCTGTAACAACTTGTGAAATTAAATATCACAAATGAGGCTTTTCTTCACTGGCCCAGAACTCTATAGTCTTCACCAACACTTTGTCAATTCTTATCTGATAACTCTTTTTTAGTAACTAGGCATTTAGTATCGGAGGACCAAGAGAGGGTAAAAACGCTTAAAAATTCGCCAGATGTCATCGATCAAAACAGAGTTTACTACAGCTGCCGGGTAGCATGCATAAATTACACTTTAAAGTGACCAGGAAATGTTGCAGAACATTATTATAATACTGCTGCAACAAATAATTGTGTTTGTAGTGAAGTATTTATAAACAAATAGACAACATGTTTAGTGAAGTTAGTCGTATAAAATAATAATTTTTCCACTTATGGTCATGATGCTCAAGGAAAACTTGATAAAGTGTCCAAAATAAATCACAAATGAAGATAAATCACTTAGTAAACTTTAAGTAAACTTTAAATAAACTTTAAATGGAGCCTGTACTTCAGATCTTGTACCAGAAAGCAGCACTGTTATTTTTTTATAGCAAAAGAGAACCCCAAAAAAAAGTCCAGAACAATTAGTATCTTCACACACAAGGTATCGGGGGTCACCGTGGCCGAGCGGCTAGACACTCGCCGTGGATCGGAAGGTCGTGGGTTCGCTCCTTGGTGGAGCCGGTCTATTTTAAAAAATGACCTTGGCTCCAAGGTCAACCCATCCTTGAGTGGGTACCAGGTACAGTCCTGGGAAGTAAAGGCAGCCGGCATGATGCTGACCACATCACCCATCTTGTGCCGATTGGTCTATAAAAATATAGGTCTAGCCCTATATGCCCTATAAGCCTAAAGGCGTGGAAGAGGGTCCTTTACCTTTTTCACTTACACACAAGGTATTAATAGAACAGGTGTAGTGGTAGTAATTTTTCACAAATATCCTGTTCACCACTGAGGGTTATAATTAGGGCCTATATTTAATGTAAAACTCAGTTTATCTGTAACTTTGCAGTAATATTCTTAAAGAATTAGGAGAAAAGCACTAAAACTAAGTGACATTAAAGATAATGTCATTTGACTAATATTTCTTCTCTCTATGCCAGCTGGCACCGTTATCCTTATATGCTTTGCTTAAGCTACATTTCGGATCAGTCCATAATCAAAGCCTGACTCTGCAAATGAATTAAACAAGTCTGCTACCTTACTTTCATTATCTGACTTCACATCATTCTGATCAGTACACTGTTTTATTTCAGTTTCAGGCTTCTAATGTGTAATTTACATTGAATTGCATTACATTTATTGTTCAACTGCCATATGGGTTCAAACAAAAGTGTAACAACTTGGGAAAGCACTAAATATAACTATATAGGGTAGGTCGGGGCAAAGACCCGCAGTTTCATGTTTTTTACACATTTCTGGAAAACCGTTCGCATGTATTCTATGAAACTTCATATGGATAAAGTTTAGCCACTTACCCGCCATGTATATGGCTACTGAGTCTGTGTTCTTATTAATAATCAAAATAAATGCATTTTCTGGGCATCTATACGTTGCGGGTCTTTGCCCCAGCGATGGGTCAAAGACCCGCAGCCGCGGGTCTTTGCCCCATTTGTAAAATTAATGACATAAGACTGGGAAAAAATCATTGTAAAATCATTCTTTATTCAAGAAATTAAAAAATCACTGAGGTCATTTGAAAAACTGATCATATTTTTAAATCGGGTTGAACTGTTGAAAATTGGCTTCGAAAGTTTCAAAATAATGTCTCCCTTTTCAAAATAGGACTCTTCACTTGTTTCTGTAAACCTTTGAGTTAGAGGCGCTCGCTTGTAGAAGATACCATCGTATCCCTCATCATCACAATCAGTAACTTTAACCACATACAACCTAAAAGAGTTTTTTGCTTTTCCATGCACCTTGACGACAGCAAAGTCACCAGGTTGCAGTTCTAAAGCACAATCCAGCTCTTCTTCTTCCGAAGACAAGACGGTCAAGTCAGAGCTGCTGTTCTGGACGGAGAAATCCGAATCAGAGTCTGATGAAGTGTTATCCGGGGACAACTTTCTTTTCATTGCCGTTGCCTTTGTATCTAGAAGCAAGGCCCTTTTAACATGTTTCTTTTCTGCGCTGTCTTTTTCCTCTTGCAATATTTCCATGCGTTGCAAATTTGGACTTGACGTTAACAGGGTCGATTTCAAACCTTTTCCTGAACGTTTCTTGTTTATTTTTATTTTTGACAGAGGACAAATGTCACTTGGTGACGTTCCAGTGTTGCTATGAGAAGGTCCTGAGATGTCATGGGGAGGAGCTATGTCCTCTATGTCGGCTTTTTCTAGAGTTTCGTCGGCAAGAATAGGGCTTTGGCCCACAATGATATCCGGAACTTCGACAGGAGCAGTAGCAGCTTTTGTAGACTGCAGAGCAATAAATATTTCCTTATTTTCATCCATATCCTCTTCTTCCTTATACTGGTCGGTGACCTCGGCAGGCAAGAAATCGTCATCAGTGAATTTGTTCTGGTCCAGAGGAAAAATGCCAGTGGTTAGAAATCCTTGAACTGCATTTTCTACGGTAGAAGCTTTCTGGAAAGCCTTCGCGAACAGTTCAGCAACGTGATATTCGCTAAGGACTTGGCCTGGATGCAAAGTTGTCCAGTTATCAGCAGCATTGTCATAATACGCTTTCAATGGTCTGAAAAAATTACGGTCAAGGGGTTGCGTCTTATGACTACTGTGTGGTGGTAAGCTTAGCATATGGACGTGGTTTGATTTGGCGTAGCTTATAGCCTCCAAGCTAGTATGCGAGGTATGATTGTCAAGGATCAACAGAAGTGGCCTCTCTTGAGAGGGATTCGCCAACTTCTTAAAGTGTTGTAGCCACTTTAAGAATGTAGGAATGTTCATATAGCCTTTGTCAGTCACACTCATGTCACACCCAGTTGGTCCATCCTTTATGAGAAGCAAGTTTAGTCTCTTTCTTGCAAAAATGAAGTAAGGAGGCACATAATGTCCTGTGGCACTCATGGCACAGACTACAGTCACCGTTTTACCTTGCTCAGCAGCGACAGATTTAGCAACCTCTTTTTTTCCAGTTAGCGCTACGTGCTTGGGTATCTTGCCTGGAACAGTCTGAATCCCTGTTTCATCCATATTATAGATACAGTCGGGTGTAAACTTGTACCGGCGCAGAACACTCGTAAGGTTGTCAAAGTATTGGTCCAGTTGCAGTCGATTAAAGCCCATTGTCCTTGCTATGCTCGTCTTTCGTGGTGTCCGCAATGATATTCTGTTTCTTTTCATAAAGGAATGTGTGAAATCCTTTCCAGCCAGCTTTGTTGCAGTGGAAAAGGGATGAAGTATGTTATTTTTCTCTGCATAAGAATACAACAGAAACCGGAGAGACTTGAGGGTTAATCCAAAAAATCGCTGGTCTAGGGCTTTACAATGTTCTACTAACTGTTTTTCATGTTCACTGGAAAAGACAGTCTGGAATCGCCCCAGCTTTTCTGCTCCAACACCAGTCTTCAATCTGTTCCGTAGCGTTGACTCGTGGAAACCGATCACTTTGGCCGCTTGTCTAATAGAAACACCCGTCTCTATCAGAGCCTTGGCTTCGTTCAGTAAGGATTCAGTGAGGGGTTTCTGGCTCGTCTTCCTTTTGTAATTCCTGGAAATAAATAACAGAATCATATTGTAATCAACTGAGGATGATAAGGGGAAAACTCACATTCGTGGGCAATGCCGCTCATTTATGGGGTAAAGACACGCATTCATGGGGTAAAGACACGCACGCGGGTCTTTGCCCCACCAGGCTGCGGGTTTTTGCCCCATTTTTCCATAATTTAAAATTCGTATCTTTTAACCAATATAAACTAAATAACCTCAACAGGTCACGTCTATTTCTACTGTTAATATGTGTTACTTTTTGATGAATAAGATAAGTAACAGCTTTATTGCAAACTTTTTGTGTGAACGTGCACTGACTAGAGTCACAGTATTACATTAAAAGTTGAAAAAAGCAACTGACCTCATTTTCTTGGCTGGTGACAGCAGGACTTGGTTGAATTTTGGCAACCCACGTGATACCGTCTAGCCAGTGTCGGCCAAGCTAAAGCCGGCCACAAAAAACAACAACCGGAACATCTAAATGGACTGCGTGTTTTTGCCCCACGCGGGTCTTTGCCCCGACCTACCCTATTTAGCTTACTCACAATCTCACCCCCTCCCTCCTTCTTTTCAAGAAAAAATAACTACAAACTTGTGTTAATGAAAGAACCACACACAAAAAACAGAAGGTTTGAATTCAAATTCAGCATTTTTTTTTTTTTACACTGGTCAGGGGTAAATTAAAAATGCAGATGAATCTTGCATTGACTGGAAGTTCGGGGTAAATAGACATAGATTAATGCATGCTGTATCCTCTAGATCTAAAGAGTTAATAAAGAGTTAAGAATATCGCAAAGAATGCTGAAGAACTAAGCCAGATAATTTTAGCAATGCTGAGATGATCATGTAAGGGGTACAGCAAATTCTTATATATCTGGTACAAGACAGATAGACTAGCAATGAAATAATTGAGACTCAAACATGCAGTCACTAAAAGCAACTAAGAAGCTGGTGAAATTTGTAATTAATAAAATGGACCACTGAAGATATCAGATAGGAAGTATAAAAATAATATACAGCATATGCTGTCCTCTCACACAATATAATTCATGAGATAACAAAGGACCAGAACTAAGTTTTCTGTCTTCAATCTCAAGACACAGCATGAATTGTGCAACCCAAACATTCACAAATTATTCCAGTGTCTGGTTTGTAAATATCAGTTTGGTGTTTAAATATACCTGTAAAATATCTGAGTCATAAACAACCTGCATAAAAATGAAAGAGAGAAAACCAGGTATATAAATACTTCAATGTCTTAAAGTATTAACAATTGACACTATTCATCTTCCAGTTACTGGGTCAAGTTCTAGGAAAGCTGACCTCTGATATGAAATTTCTGGACATGACGTCGGCTGTGAGACGTGTAAGTAGTTTGTCCAGAGGAAGTTAGATGTGGGTGTGGCAAAACCTTGTTAGCTAAGGCAAAGTACTCTAGTTATACACTATAAATAAAGTAAAGGACCTTTTTGAACATCTTCAGGCATATTGGGCATATAGGGCTAGACCTGTCACGCTCAGTGGGTTATGTGGTCAACATCATGCTAGCCACCTTTACTTCCCAGGACTTTACCTGGTAGCCATTCAAGGCTGGGTTGAGCTGGTAGCCGAGGTCATTTTAAAAATAAGTCTGGCACCATCAGAACCCAAACCCACAACCTTCCGATCCTCAGATGCCATCTAGCCACTACACCAAGGTGTCCTCCAGTAATACGCTGAGCTGAGTTTATCCTCAGTGATATTAAAATAAAGATGACTACAAAAAACCTGAAATCATGAAGTAGCCTAACCCTTTCAGCCGTCGTCAGCTAAAAAGAATTGATCGTGAACCCATGGGAATACCTGGCGAAATCCTCAGAAGAAACATCTGTTTTACACAGGTCACTAACAAAATTTTAAAAAATAAAAAAGATTTGGTTTATCTACATTTAGAATTTTGAGGGGAGGGAGGAATATATAAGAATATATAAAACGAAAATAAATAAACATGAACAGAGTGAAATATTGAATGGAATATATTCCCCTGTGGCTTGAAAAATAATATGTACTGGGTAATGCATGTCATGACCCAGTGACCTCAATCACTGAGTCTTGTGGAACAATTTGATATCAACTTGGTTCTTAAAAAAAGCTATTGGGGTCACAGGGAAACCCTCCTAAATGTTGCTGTATTCATACCCTTGTCTATTGAACAGTGTGCAGGTGCACATAGAATCAGTGTTATTTAACCGTAATTTTCAAGAACAGGTCACCGCAGTTATGGCAATATACTGGCATTTTGAGGACTGCATCACAAGTGGAAGTGACTAGATTTAAACATCTCAGAATGATGAAGTAAATAAACATGAACAGAGTGAAATATTGAATGGAATATATTCCCCTGTGGCTTGAAAAATAATATGTACTGGGTAATGCATGTCATGACCCAGTGACCTCAATCACTGAGTCTTGTGGAACAATTTGATATCAACTTGGTTCTTAAAAAAAGCTATTGGGGTCACAGGGAAACCCTCCTAAATGTTGCTGTATTCATACCCTTGTCTATTGAACAGTGTGCAGGTGCACATAGAATCAGTGTTATTTAACCGTAATTTTCAAGAACAGGTCACCGCAGTTATAGCAATATACTGGCATTTTGAGGACTGCATCACAAGTGGAAGTGACTAGATTTAAACATCTCAGAATGATGAAGTTAACAGAGGGAAAGAAAATGTTGCTCACAGTTGCAATAAAACAGGTTTTTGTGAAGGCTTTAAATGATGAATTCATTTGTATTTGCTTTTTTCTTTCCATTGTTAAACTCGTCCTAGTCTGTGCTGCGTTAGCTCACATTCAGTGTCAGGAGGTTTTGTAGGAGCTTACAGAGTGAAGAAATTATACCATGATTAAAATTAATCATTGCATTAATTTGAAAGTGGTAAAAATAACAGTAGTAGTGACACTTGAAGAAGCCAGATTTCTTGAGTAATTCTGACCACATGGTGTAAAGTAAGAAAGCCCATTAAGCTATGGAAGTGATTCAGTGGCTAAAAGATTCATACAACATTTATTGTTTGGGACTGAAAGGGTTAAGCTACTTCTCAAGTTTTTCTTTGTATGGTCCACATGGTCCTTACGCTTGCTTTTATAGTTTATTTAAAATGAAGTGAACCCAGTTGTTCTCAGGTGATGTTTAATTGTTGTGATACCCCCAAATCTCCAGGGCAACATGGAATACTACTCAGCAGAGATGGAACTGAATGCCAAGTTTCACAACTTCAGCAAGAACTGTAGTCAGGTTCACAGCGGACACAACACAGTCACAGCACAGCTGAAGATCAAGTCTAAAAGAGGTAACAAAGCATCATAGTTTGATGCATTCAGAAGATATGTTATAATTACATATTACACTTAGGAAATAATAAATCCACCATGTTGATGATAAAATGTTAGTAAGATGGTCTCATTATTCATAGTACAATTTCTTACATAATCATAACCTAAATCAAAGCAATATGTGAAACAAGACAAATTACACACCTCTTATATAAATAACTACACAGTATATAAATATAAAATAACAAATATATACTCTAAGAACTTAAAGAACTGTGTTGAACAGAATATTTTTAAGAAACTACTACTAAGATGTATCAACAATAACAGCTTCAATTGCAGATCCTATACACAAGATATGTCAGTGCTCAGATAATTTATCTGAAATTGCAGAGAATATACACATTCACAGGATGTATGGACATTCACAAGTTCTGTCATTTTTCACAAGAGCTGTCAAAAATGTTTCCTCACCTTCACAGAATAAAATGTTTTCGCCCCCGCACAGTATATTGTTATTTCACCTCCACTGTTATACTGCCTGCTCCACACAGCACATTCAGTTGTTATTTCACCTCCACTGTTATATTGCCTTCTCCACACAGTACATTGTTATATCACCTCCACTGTTATATTGCCTGCTCCACACAGTACATTGTTATATCACCTCCATGGTTATATTGCCTGCTCCACACAGTACATTGTTTTTTCACCTCCACTGTTATACTGCCTGCTCCACACAGCACATTCAGTTGTTATATCACCTCTGCTGTTATACTGCCTGCTCCACACAGCACATTCAGTTGTAATTTCACCTCCACTGTTATACTGCCTGCTCACACACAGCACATTCAGTTGTTATTTCACCTCCACTGTTATACTGCCTGCTCACACACAGCACATTCAGTTGTTATTTCACCTCCACTGTTATACTGCCTGCTCCACACAGCACATTCAGTTGTCATTTCACCTCCACTGTTATACTGCCTGCTCCACACAGCACATTCAGTTGTTATTTCACCTATACACAGCACTTTGGTTTTTTTCACCTCCCCAGAGTACATTGTTATTGGCAGCAATGAAGAACTTCCACTGGGAGAAGAGTTTCAGAAGCTTGTGAGATGCTTCTTTGACCCGCACGAGAAGAAAGCAAACAAGAAATATGCCAAAGCAGGGATCCTGTTAGAACAAATGGCGTAAGTCGATGTCCTACCTAAGCTTCTCATGACACATCATCATCATCATGTAGCAGGTCCTTTGCAGAACATCGCTCTCATCACGGTCTGCCTGAAAGAAACTCGGTCTCTCGCCAGCTCTCTCACCTCATGTAATTTCATACTCAAGGAGTCACTTATATCCTGTGCCCATCTTCGTGTCGGTCGGCCCTACCCCTCCTTCCTGGTACCATGCCTTCTGCCATACTTTTTATATTATATTATAATTTGATGACACAGTGACAATAATATGAAATGCTTCAAGAATATGACCATTTCAAATTTGTTCTAAACATTATGTGACAGTTTTAAGACTGATCTCGTGTTTTGATGATGTTGATGATGATGATGTTGATGATGATGATGATGATGGCGATGATGGTCGCTGCTGCTGGAGTTGAATTCTTAGCATTTATCCAGCCACCTTTATTTCCCTGAACAATTCTGGTACTCATGTAAAGCTGGATCAACACTGAAGACTCCCAGGTCGACCCAGCTTTGAGTGGGTATCAGGTGCAGTCCTGGGAAGTAAAAACAGCTGGTGTGATGCTGACCACATCACCCACCAAGTGCCATTTGGTCTATAAAATATAGGTCTAGCCCTATATACCCAATATGCTTGAAAGCGTGGAAAGTGGTCCTTTACTTACTTTTAACATTGAAGGCCACTTCAACAGAATAAATTCCTTCTTTGGTGAAGATATCTCACACATGAGTTAACCCTTGCACTCCCATAACTATACTGTAGTACTCTTGCTAAAAGCACATGATGCCCAAGGGTAGTTCTCTTACCCCAGTAGATCATATTCTTATAGTTAACTTAGCAGCGTAGTGTATCCTTTACCGTGCATTGCAGAAACGACCCCAGCAAAAGTTACATTTTTTTTAACAAAGCATTTTTATGGTTTAGTTCTTTCCACTGCTCACTGAACTGTTAGCTCTTCGCTGTTGCAGTGAGCACAAGGCAGTCTGCTACCAAATCACCAACAGGTGGAATTGAACCAGGTACTTCAGAATTATGAAGCACTTTTGCAATGCATAAGCCTCAGAATGCAGACACTTCTTATAACATGACTGGAAATAGAGAACTATCTTATCTTGTTCTGTGTCTTTGTTATATGGTCTCTCATCACACTGGTCTATACAATACAGGTCCAGCCCTATGTGCCCAGTTTGCCTGAATGTGTGGAAAAGGGTCCTTTACTTTTTACTTACCTTACCTTAGTTCACAAACATGCAGTATTCTCTGCAGAGTCTCTGATGTACAAGTACACAATATTACCTACAAGATGTAAAAGGAACATTTTCCACACCATGAGGTGGCTACATAGTCGTAGATCTATATTTTATAGACCAGATGGCACATGGTGGGTGATGTGGTCAACATCATGCCGGCTGCCTTTACTTCCCAGCACTTTTCATGGACCCTTTTAGTCTAGGTGGACTTGGGAGCCAAAGTAATTTTTTCCAATATTCTTACGCAATGTGGATTTGATAACATGACCTGCAGGTCTGAGATGGGAATCTAGCGATTACACAACGGCTGCTTCCCCACAGGATGTTTTAGTCTTAGTCTTCATCAAGGTTTCAGCTTCACTGCAATCAGGTCACCCCGTACTTGCTCCGTCCCTGTGCCAGTGAAAATCAAATGTAACATCATTAAACTATTTTTTTTGACATCACAGCATATGTTATTTCCATTTTACAAGATCTACTCTCGGACCAAAAGTTATCAAAGAAAAAAATTGCTTACACAATGATCTTGAATTAAGCACTGATTTGGTTCTTAGCACACTATTCACTGTTTGAGCCATTTCATTTAGATTTAATAATAGTGGATCTACTGGTGTAGAGAGATGAGTGCTGTAATCAACCCAGATAATTCAACTGTCCTGTTTTGTTCTATGGACAATATGATTGTTAGAGCGAATGTTCCCAGACTTTAAAAAATGGCAGGGAAATCAAAAGAGACAACAGACTGTGGTACCTGTGTATCACTTTTGAGAGAAGTTTATCTTTTCAAGAATCAGATAGCGGGGGTTCAAAAAGGTCTTAAAGCACTAAAGATTATAACAGCAATGGACATGGAGCAGAGAATGCCGTTCACACTTTACCAGCACTTAATCATCTCAGTGATTGATTATGGATTGGGAATTACTCACTGTCTCGAAGAGTCAGCTAGAGAAACTGGAGCTTATAGAGAATGAAGCTATGCAGTGATCCTGGGATGTACAAGAGACACCCCAATTGTGTGCATGCGATACATCCTTGCATTGCTGACTATTGCAGATAGGCTAAAGGTGCTGCAGGCTAAGTCATACCTCAGAGTAGCTGCAGACAGGGAACACTCTCTGTATGAAGCTTTGGCTGCAGGTAAGGGTCAGAGGCTAAAAAGGGGAAAATTGTAAATGGCTGAAACAGAAGACACAAAAAGACGTATGCTGGGCTAGGAGAGGAGTCGGTCAGAGTACACGCGGAAAAGTCTGACCTGTGTAGGGTTATGATCACATTGGGCCAGAAGTGCAGAGAGTGGCCAGCTGGTACTACGGAGGTGGAAGTCCAACAGTTGAATCAAGACATTCAAGCCCAGGTGATCTGATTATCTATACAGATGGTTTGGCGGTAAGAGGAAAGAGAAGTGCCTGGGGGTTTGTAGTGAAAGCCTATGGAAAATGTTTAGTGCAAGATAACCTAGCATACATACAACATCACAACATCTAGCATAAGAATGGAGGTGGAGGCGGTAACTGCAGCTCTCCAGTGGCTAAAGAACAAGATGCTTACACATGTCGTAATTGTAACACTCTGAAGGCATGCTGAGAAAGGTGAAGACAGGGATGCATTGAGCAGAGTAGCAAGCTTCACTGGGAAGGTCAGGGGTAGTGAGCATACTTTGGATCTTTTCTCCAGGCCATACGGGCGTAATAGATAATGAACAGGCAGACAGATGGCTGGATCTGCATCACTGGGTGGTGAATTGATACATGACAAGACAGATGTGGTCAAGGCCCTTTGGGAACAAGCAATTAGTCCTGGAACAATCCAGAAATATGTGCATGCAGCAAATGCAGTTTGTCGTTGATGGAAGTAGATGGGCATGAAAAGTTGGCTATACACACGTAGAATTATAACACAAAGTTTTTAACCAGCTCACACATAAACCGGCTGCCAGCTGTATTAAATACCATGACATAACTGCTTTAAATGAAAACTTTTTAAGTGACTGACTGACTTTCTACCCCACTAGGACATCACACAAGCGATAAACACCCAATGACACAAAGTGCCACCATGTGGATGAGGATCGCCGTAGAGAGGTCCCAGAAACCACGTTCAGACAAATTGGCCATACTTATGGCCTGCCTATATTGCGGCATCTGGCAAAAGCCAGGGTGGGGCTTCAAATAACGAAAAATTTTGTCCTTAAAAGGACGAAAGTAGATATGGTGTATAGAACAATTACAGGACAGTGTAGACCACCTAAAGTGATATCTAATGTGGTTGTGAAGAGCAACTTGTTTATCCTGGGCAGTTACCATATGCTTGAACTCTTACCTGGATAAGAGGAATTTCTGATAAGGACCATTTCTTGGGTCCCTGGTGAGTTCTTCCTATCAGGTTTATACTGTATGAATAGGTAACAGGAAGCTTTTGTTTTTCATGCTGTTGCAGGATTTCAGCTGCTCAGTGCAAACAGCCAAGACCAAGTCAGCCCACCTCAGAGCAGCTGGATGTCAGATGTCTACAGATTCTTCGAGCTTTGGTTCACAACGAGGAGAGAAGACTACCTGAAGACTGGGCTCTCCGGATGTCTGAATCCAAAATCAAAAAGTGTGTTTTCTCCCCAGAACTCAGTTATTATAACTTGCTTCCTGTGCCAGTATGCTTGTCAAGAAGTCATCATCATCATCATCATCATCAATTGGATGTAGACAATCTACTTCCTCCTCGAACATCAATCCTCTATAATCTTGAAAAGCTTGTCCCCAGATTTTCTTCAATTTCAGTCCTTGAAACTATCATTTGAACAAAGAAGACACAAACAATAGACTGCACAATTTATTACCTGGCATATTTCGCTGTATCTCGTCAGGTCTATACTACAGTAACATTGTGGAGTCTATTGTTTGTGTCTTCTTTGTTCAAATTCACATCGGGGAAACATTGCTTTGATTATTTGAAACTATCATTGTCTACTTCTATTGGCCTCTTCTTCAATCACTCTCAGTTTCTCAAGCTGTCAAAAAATTATGAGAATAATGGTAGGAGAGAATTAAAAGTATGAAATTAACTACGGACAATGATAGGAACAGTACTATTAAATGATTTTACAGAACATCAAAGAATCAAATAGTTTGGTCGTCTGGTCAGAATGAAAAAAAAAAACACACCTTAGACAGCAGCTACAATGCACTTCATTAGAACAGCAAGCTGCAGGTTAAGAGGCTGATCAAAATAGAAATGGGTGGAGGGAGTAAAAGAGACAATACAGTATTGTACCATGACATTAACACAAGCTACACAAGTAGTACAAGACAGGAAACTACATCTAACCTCCTTGCAATGATTTACTGCACAAGCAGTATTTAAAAAAAAAATAAAAGATATTTGATATATTTTTCAGGCCTATCTTATAGCAAATCCAGACAATGACAATTTTCTTGTCTTGATGTGGCTAATCACATTTTGCTGTAAATTCACCTTTTGCAGAAATGTATATATTGGTGTTTTTAACACCCGTGTTTATATATATATATAATCGAGGTCCTCTTCGTGTCCTTGTTGATACAGAAGGTATTGACAGGTAGACTTCTATTGGTGCTGGTTTGCTGCTTGCCTGCCTATGATATCTCATGTTATTTGCACTCCCTTATTTCCATTTCTATTGTCCTTTCATTAATTGCCTGGCTAGTTTCACTTCTTTCCACCAGTGCAATGTATGTTTTAACTTGATCCTGTTTTTAAAAAGATAAACTTCATTTACAGTAGTCATAATCATAGTCAAGGTTTCAACCTCACTGCTGCTGTGGGGCTTCCGGTCAAAATGAACACTAAGGTTTGGCCACTGTTTTGGAGCTGAGGCAAGTTTTTTGCTTCTGCCGGACGGTGGCCAATACATTTTTGCTCCATTTGTAGGCTGGATATAGTTTTGTCGCCCAGCTTCTAAGTTGAATGCATGGCATGACACTGTGAGCTGCGGATTTCATTTGGAATGTTTTTTCGACTGTGACTAACTTGGTGGTGTGAATTGTAGATTAAAAAAATGGCGCAATGTTGGTGGTGCATGGCATGTGATTAAAATTGATCGTGTGGGCAACTGCCGATCTGTTGGTGATTTCTGCTTCCATCAATGATGAACTGCATTTCTAATGACAGACTGTTTGTGTTAGCACTTCGGATGGCTACCGTATGCTTTAATGCATGTGTACGCTAGATATGCTGAGACAGCAGTCTGTCAATCTTTCCACAAGGGACTGTGATAAACATTCTGTCTGTTTTTCATTGACACAGGAGCGGAGCAAAAGTGGGGTGACCCGTTTTCTATGAAGCTGAAACTAAGATTACCAGATGTCACTGCAGTAGGGTCAACCCATACTTGCTCCGTTCCTGTGCCAGTGAAAATCAAACTAAATGTCTCTTATTGTCCTGTTTGAAATCTAGAAATATGCGCACACAGAAAATAAATGCATATGACAGTTGCTAGAAGCACCAAAGCGAACATTCGCCACTAGAAATGCAGTTTGTCTTTGATGACAGTCAGACTAGTTGTTAGTTTCTTGTTCTATCCCCTATCAGGCAAATAAATCGAGTCAAAGATGTGCAGAGTGCCTTGAACCTCAACAACGTGATTCTCAAAGTGCTGCCCCATCTTGCCAGGAGGAGCGACAGTATTGTCAGAGAGGTGCTGGCTTTCATCTCCATTATGCTGTTCAATGCCAATAGAGATGTCCAGGTTTGTAGAAGTTGTGGTCTATAAATATTTTACTGACTGTCCAACAACCGAGGTCTTGATGACAGTGTCTGAGGCATATTTTTTCAAAGCATTTTCATAATTTGACATGTTTCCATTTGAGTTGTTTCCATGCCAATCACTTCGTGAGTTCTTAGCTTGTTTACTTATTTGTGCATGTGTGTATGTGTGTGTGTTTATGCAAGCACATACATGTGTGCGTGTGGGCAGGTGCATGTGTGCATGCACATGTGTGTGTGTATGTGTATATGTGTGCATGCATATGTGTGTGTGTATGTGTGCATGCAAATGTGTACATGTGTGTGTGTGTATGTGTGCATGCAAGCGTATATATGTGTGTGTGTATGTGTGCATGCAAGCGTATATATGTGTATGTTACAATTCAAAATCTTCTCAGACCACCACGGATAAGGAAAATGAAAACCAATAAAACTGGCATTCTTTAAGATATGAATACCAAAGGAAACATAATCTATACACAAATAGCACAACAACATATCCCAAGCATATGTAATCAATGAATTTGCAACAGCATCTTATATTCATGAATGAAGAATGTAAATCAAATAATACGAAAATCAACATCGAAAAGACAGGAGCAATGTCAAATGGAATAAAGAAGCAGGATTTAAACATACCATTAGAGTATAAATATATTAAATAGGCATCTGAGTTTAAATATTTTGGGACAACATTCACCGAAGATGTTAAATTGGAGGAAAAATTTGACATCCGATGCAGTTAAGCTGGCCAAGTATTGGGGCAGCTAGCCCCCCTCTTACAGCATAAGGCAATCCTTATCAGAATCAAGAAACATCTCATACAAAGCATATTTATTCCCACCCTATGCTACCAGTGCTAGACATGGTCACCCACAGTAAAACATAAAATAAAACTAGTAACCATGGAAATAAGGTATCTGAGAAAGACTGTAGGAGTGACCTGAAGAGACAAAATCAGGAATGAGGTCATACAAGATAAAGCTGGCACAGAACAATTCTAAATTACATAGAAAGACAGCAACTCAGATGGTTTGCCCTCTTGGAGAGAATGCCTACTGATGCTATTCCATACAAGGCATTCATTAAAAGAGAAGGACGTAGAGTAAGAGGTAGACCAAGAACAATATGGGAAGATAACATTAGAGAAACACTACAGCACCAGGCTGTGTCTATGGTCGCAGCAGCCAGAAGAGCACGAAGCAGGACCTCGTCACTTAAAATGGTAAAAGGGGGCGTACAGAAGAAGAAGAAAATATAAAAAAAATTCATACACTAATGAATACTTCAGTTCGTTTGTTTTAAATACGATTTGTTCTTCTGTCCTTGTTAACCTAAAAGTTACCATAATTTTAAATTAAAATTTTTGTTATGTCCTCCAGAAATCGATGCTGGATTATTTCTTGTCCACTAGAGAAGAGGTGTTCTTTATGGCTGTCAGAGACCGCATGCAAGTGTCTACCAATGCCATCAAGGAGAAGTATGTATTTTCATCAAACTTTCTCATATACATGTATTTGCTTTATTACTCAGCCACTTGCAATTTCTTTTGTAGTTTTTTTTTAAAATAGAATTTTTCACAAAAACTTTCTTTGGAAATCCCATGTCACTAACATCAGTGGGTCTCACGTATTTACACACCCAGTAGGTTCAGTGTGTAGTGACACAAGGTTGTAACACAAGGTAGATGGCTTTAGCATTTGAGAAATCGGTTATTTCAAAGATAAAACATCACAAATCGTTTTATAACTAATTTAACTGTCATCTGGTACTGATATAGTTAACATAGACACATTTTTTTAAAATTTTTTCAAATCACATACGCATTACTACAGATTGGTTTTAAAAAAAAACATCATGCACATACTACCACAGCATAAACATTACCACAGTTGAAATCTAATATCACACATAACAGCTTGTCAGATATACTATTACAACACACATACGCTACCTTATGCTTCAATATGGTTTGATCAAACACAAATGTAGTCAAAGGTTCATTGTGGAACATATTTAACAAAACAAAAAATAATAGCTGAAAAAGTAACCAGATTTTTACTAAGAGGTTCTCAAGGACTCGGTGCACAGCCTTTATGAACCAGCACATTAATTTTAAAAAAAAAATGTTTTCTAATTTAGTTTAGTTAGCAACACTAGTAACTTTTACTGAAACAGACATCTAGTTACTGTAGCTAAACCCAAGTGTGTGTAACCAGATATGTGTTGCCAGGTTGTGTTTTGTTTCTCAGATACACCTGCTATAACATGTAATATGTGGGTCTTTTTTTTTTTTTTTTGATGTGTTAAAAAAAAAAGTATTAATGGTTATTACAGTTTTACTCTGACTGGAAACAATAAGAAGTGAAGACAACCCTTTGTGAAACATGCGGTAACCCTCAATATTTAATTAACTTCATAACTACTTCTTGTGTTCAGTTTTTAGTTGTTACAGATAATGAAACGTTCTACATAAATGTATTATTTGTAGTAAATATATTCACTTAATTACTTGGTAACTGTGTCATCATCATATGCCGTGTCAGCTGGTGCAAGCAATCATGTTCCTCCATAAATTCATATCCCCTGTGTTCTGTAAGTTCAACTGCTAAATCTTCTAGCCAGGTAATCTACCTATATTTTTCACCTGTGTCAACCTCTTTTCTTAAAACCATTTAACTTCCCAGAAGCCATATTTTCTTCAGACTGTATAATCAGATCATATAACCTAAAAAGTATGACTTTTTTAAAATGTCATAGTGTTATTAGTACTTCTGTTACATTCGTAATCATTCATTTAATGTCATAAATATTGAAGCCCCACCCTGGCTTTTGCCGGGGGCCCTGAATATATCCGGGCCATAAATATGGCCTAACCATAGATGTGGCCTAAATGGCTGAAAGGGGTTTCTGGGACCTCTCCACGAGTGATCCTCATCTGCATGGTGGCACTTTGTGTCACTGGGTGTTTATCGTTGTGTGATGTCCTGGTGGGGTACAAGTACTCAGAAGATAGTACTCAAATCGTACGGTGTGCCTGCACTGCTGTATAGCAATGAATCTTGGAGTGTGAACAAAGCAAAGGAGAGCTTAGAAGAAAGAAATGTTGTATGTTGAATTAAGAATCAACATCACAGCACTCTCATAAGCACTCAGTCCCCATCTTCAGCAGCAAGCAAAGAGTTCCAATTCTGATGGCATCAGTAACTGTCTGATTCAATATCTGCCTCACTTTTCCCTTGAGCACTATTCTCCTCAGACCATAATTATCTATCTGTGTCTTCTCACTGTTCACTCGCTCCTAAAGAGCCTTGACAGCATCCAGCTTGTAGTGCATCCATTCACCAGAGACTATTATATTTAGACTGTGTATGTGACACAACAGATTCTGCAGCCATATGTAAGGAAACTGTGTATGTGACACAACAGATTCTGCAGCCATATGTAAGGAAACTGTGTATGTGACACAACAGATTCTGCAGCCATATGTAAAGAAACTGTGTATGTGACACAACAGATTCTGCAGCCATATGTGAGGAAACTGTGTATGTGACACAACAGATTCTGCAGCCATATGTGAGGAAACTGTGTATGTGACACAACAGATTCTGCAGCCATATGTAAGGAAACTGTGTATGTGACACAACAGATTCTGCAGCCATATGTACAGGAAACTGTGTATGTGACACAACAGATTCTGCAGCCATATGTACAGGAAACTGTGTATGTGACACAACAGATTCTGCAGCCATATGTGAGAAAACTGTGTATGTGACACAACAGATTCTGCAGCCATATGTACAGGAAACTGTGTATGTGACACAACAGATTCTGCAGCCATATGTACAGGAAACTGTGTATGTGACACAACAGATTCTGCAGCCATATGTGAGGAAACTGTGTATGTGACACAACAGATTCTGCAGCCATATGTACAGGAAACTGTGTATGTGACACAACAGATTCTGCAGCCATATGTACAGGAAACTGTGTATGTGACACAACAGATTCTGCAGCCATATGTACAGGAAACTGTGTATGTGATACAACAGATTCTGCAGCCATATGTACAGGAAACTGTGTATGTGACACAACAGATTCTGCAGCCATATGTACAGGAAACTGTGTATGTGACACAACAGATTCTGCAGCCATGTGAGGAAACTGTGTGTATGTGACACAACAGATTAGGGCAGCCATATGTAAGGAAACTGTGTATGTGACACAACAGATTCTGCAGCCATATGTGAGGAAACTGTGTATGTGACACAACAGATTCTGCAGCCATATGTAAGGAAACTGTGTATGTGACACAACAGATTCTGCAGCCATATGTAAGGAAACTGTGTATGTGACACAACAGATTCTGCAGCCATATGTACAGGAAACTGTGTATGTGACACAACAGATTCTGCAGCCATATGTGAGGAAACTGTGTATGTGACACAACAGATTCTGCAGCCATATGTACAGGACAATCTGTGTATGTGACACCACAGATTCTTCAGCCATATGTGAGGAAAAAATATGACAACAGATTCTGCAGCCATATGTGAAACTATGTGGTGACACAACAGATTCTGCAGGCAGGAAACTGTGTATGTGACACAACAGATTCTGCAGCCATATGTACAGGAAACTGTGTATGTGACACAACAGATTCTGCAGCCATATGTAAGGAAACTGTGTATGTGACACAACAGATTCTGCAGCCATATGTATGTATCAGACACAACAGACGTGCAGCCAAATGTGAAACATGTGACACAACAGATTCTGCAGCCATATGTACAGGAAACTGTGTATGTGACACAACAGATTCTGCAGCCATATGTACAGGAAACTGTGTATGTGACACAACAGATTCTGCAACCATATGTACAGGAAACTGAGTGCGACACAACTGATTCTGCAGCCATATGTACAGGAAACTGTGTTTGTGACAGACAAACAGCCATTTCTGCGGCCATATGTACAGGAACTCTGTGTAATGTGACACAACAGATTCTGCAGCCATATGTACAGGAAACTGTGTATGTGACACAACAGATTCTGCAGCCATATGTGAGGAAACTGTGTATGTGACACAACAGATTCTGCAGCCATATGTAAGGAAACTGTGTATGTGACACAACAGATTCTGCAGCCATATGTACAGGAAACTGTGTATGTGACACAACAGATTCTGCAGCCATATGTACAGGAAATTCAAGATTGGGGATACAGAACTTTGCTCATGTGAAAAACTGATCACGTGCTACAGACATGCTCTCTACATGCTGTAGGGAAATCCCAGCTTTGGCCAGTTGGCATTCCAGTGGAAACCAAGCTGTATGGAACAGTGGAAGACATATACTTCACAGAGGCTTGTGACGTTCTCAGTCCGAAAACCATTTTGAGAGGGAATAACAAAGAAGACAGGGAGACTGAAAAGATCAGTAGTAGAAGCAGACGGAGACCAAAATAAATGATTCTGGATGGTCTAAGATGAATTTCATTTACAGAACTGGTTCAGCAAGGTTCAAGATAATCTGATACGGCAAATAAGTGTCATAATACTGTGAATTTATAAAAGTATATGTTAATTTGAGTTCTTAATATGGTTTAATGTCTCTAACACATTTATTGTGTCAGATTATTAAAAAAATCACATTGATTTTTTTTAATAACATGAAGAATCTTTAACTCTGTTAGTCCCAAGGAATGTATCATACGTTCATAGATTTCTACCTAGGAGCTCAAAGAATGCAGGGTGTGCCAATTTTACATGTCTCTTTACCACCCCTAGGGCCTCTGATGCTAACCCTCCTGGTAATGAAAGAGTTAAAAAACGATTCTTAGGTGACATCTTATTTTAGTTGTACTCTGGCACTGTATATTCATTTAGACAAAATCCTATTGAAAATCCAATTCTGAAAACTTTTTAATTTTGTGTGCGTGCGTGCGTGCGTACTTATGTGTTCTATATGGCTTGGTTAATTCCCAGTCCAAATTTTTACTAGAAATAACTAAAAATATTCAAAATAATTTATTAAAACCATTGTTAACACCGAAGTTAGAATAAAATATATTGACTTTTTAACAGTCCAGTTGATCACATTTCATATTCACAAATTTATTAAATGAATAATTATTAGGTGAGTTAATCTGGTGATATATGAAGTAGCAAATTACTGATATTACACTTTATTCCGAGAGATACTTAGAGTTGTCTTTTCCTAGTTTTAAATAATCATTACTACTGACATGCTGTTCAGAACTCTCATATTGAAGAAATGCCGAAAGAACAAGACCGGGTAAATTTGCATGACTGTTTGGTGTTGTTTTCACAGCTTTTTTGATGGGTGTTCCCTCTTACATTAGATTATATGGTAGTCTGTCAATATTTGTGAGTTCTCCAGTTTTCAAAGTTTAACATTGATATGCTTTTTTTTTTCTTTAGATTCCAGATGTTATTTATAGATTGTTTTGTCTGGTAAA